AAACGTATATCCTTCAATCTCTAACGTTAACAAGTTAAAAATGCTCAGTTTGTTTCTTAGCCTCAGTCAATGCATTGAAAATCAACTGATTTTGACCGCATCTGCACAAGGTTCCACGTTGAATGACAAAATATTCACACCCTTTCATTTTCACGCACCGTAACATAACAATAAACGCGCAAGATTCAAGCAATTCCTATAACTTGAATAAACGGAATTCAGAGAATGATCAGAATATTAAGAAAGTAAAAAGTATATTATACCGATGCGTTATTGAAGTAAGCAAAATAACAGGTCTCAACTGATCAGTGGAGCGTGTACCAATTGAGTGTAATATTCTGTCATCAGTCGTCACCGTATTAATTAGGTGTTCCCGTTATAATTGTAAGTTAACTAAAAAGGGAAATTTTTGTTATTTTTAAAAGAAAAAGTCAACGAAAACACATACTCAAGTTTTGTTCTCTTCAGAAATTGTTTGTGGCTGTCAATTCTGTGGCTATCCATTACCGCCTCATTACTTTCAAGTCTAGTCATATATCAAACCTTACAACCGCACCCCATTTCCTTCAAGTGAAAAATACACTCGTTTTGGATAACTCAACCTTTTTTAAACACAACCCTTCAAATATTTCGTCTTCCGAAGCCAAGCTAGAAAAAGTTGGGGCTGATTTTTGCAGCATTTAGTCTCAAAACTCTAGGTTGACGATTTCAGTTCACTGGATAAATTAACATAATTTTATGAGACGCTAAGAAATGCATGCTAATTGTAGGTAATCAGTAAATTAAACTAAGTTGTCTGACATTAGTTGTTGTAGTCTTATTGATCGAATATGATCGGATAACTTTTATTTTTACAGTCGTCAGCCAGGTTGGTTTGTGAGAAGCTGAAATCATACGAATCAGCTATCCGTAGTAAAGCATTCTCTGTAGTTTACATTCTGTTCTTGCAATCTTTTCAATCTCCATTACAATGCCATAGGGATTATGAATTCTCGCTGTTGATAACTTATGAGAGAACACGACGTTTCGCGCCTAAATTAAATGCAGATGAAATAATCTTTAATTTATGAGCTACGGTATAATCACGCGCAATTTTTCTATTCGACAATGTTGCCATGACTGTGGAGCTGAGCGAATTCCATACTCCTTGCCACAATTTATAAGCTCGAAAAATAAACCCCAGACTCAATGGAAAGGAGATACGCGAAGGATGCAATCCTCGATACTACCAAGAGGTTTGTAAATTACGCTACAAGTCAACTGTTGTTACTTTTGTAATTTCATAGGTGACAAATTACTCCTTAATTTTGGCGCGAAATTTCAGCATCAATTATGCGAAATTACAAAATTGCCATGGCAACGTTTGGCGCGAAATTTCTCAGTACAATAAACAAGTCAAAAGCCCAGGATTGTAACCGTAATTTGTCACCCACGATATTAGAGTTTTGTAATTTCACATAAATTAATGCTGAATTTCGCGCCAAAATTAAAGAGTAATTTGTCAATCATGATATTATAGGTTAAAGGAAACACCCTGGATCAACTGCGAAAGTTAACTAATTCTATCCTATTGCCTTATCATTCAAGTAACTACACAAGGCATTTTATTAGGCTGATGGTCAAAACCTTTTAGCAGGAAAGGGCGATTCAAAATAACTGGAAAAGTGCTCATTTTGTTAATAACTGTGTTTTTCCCTATATTTTTCTCGTATTTGTAGGGTATTTACACTTAGAAGATGAAGCTGTGTCGGGGATATCTTTTCCCTCTTTGGCTGTTGTTGGGAATATGCTCAGGTCAAATATGTACTGTCTGATAACTTGTGATAATTGTTTTTTTTTACATTTAACTTGACGAGCGCCTGACAATTTTTAAATGCTTAAACGGCAATTTTGTTTTAACTTTTAGGCAGTGTAATCAATCGAAAAGTAAGAGACTCTGAAGATGACTTGAACAAGAGAGAAGGATTAAGAAAACAACTCGATGATTTAACTGAAGCAGTCAAAAAACTTCAGGAAGAAATTGAGAATGATGGTAAGCATCAGTTTGTTGTACTGAGTGCCTTCTTTTCACAAGCTTTTTATCTATGGCTGGCCAAGGTACACTTGGGTGTTTGGAGGATTATTGTACTGCACCGCGTTGGGTGACCTTGAAGTGTGTGATTCAGTCAGTTTTTCATTTTTACTTMCCGTTGATCTTTGGCGATTGAGATGGATCATTCTGACATGAACTGGTTAATTCATAAATATTTGTAATCCAAAAGGATCAGTTGCTGCGAGGCACACTTAACAGTTCAAAAGTTGTAAATAGTAATAATGTGGTGCCAAATAAAAAACGATGGTTATAAGAGACGTTTCGCGCCTAGCCCTTCCTCAGTGCTAAGTTTTGAATGGGACACGTGAATGGGGCGTGTCCCATTCAAAACTTAGCACTGAGAAAGGGCTGGGCTCAAAACGTCTGCTATAAACATCGTTTTTAATTTGGCACTTAATTCATTAATTCATAGATTATTTCTAGTTAGTCGAGCACTTAGTTTGGGATTGCCAAATTACAGTTTCTGTCTCTTTCAGTTCATACACTTATTAGTCATATCAAATTATGAATAAACCAAATGTTAT